CCCCAAAACCCCAAAACCCCAAAACCCCAAAACCCCAAAAAGATTAAATAGAATTAAAATAAAGGAAAAAATAATATTTGATTAAATAAAATAAATTAATCTTAATTAGGTGATAACATCCTCCATTATCACAATTTATATTTTTAAATCAATCTCATCAAAACTTAATATGAGTGCTCTTCTATTCCATATCAATACCTTTAATTCTATAGGCATTAGCCTTGATCTTAATCTATTACGCTGGCTACTATACTGCTTGCTAGTTATCATACCTACTTGCCTATGCCTTATTTTATTATTCCTCAGCTTGTCTCTTAAAGCCTGACTGCTCATTTGCTTCTCTTCTGTTGAACTCGCGGCCACTGCTATTACTATTGTATTAGGGCTTTTTATTTGCAAAGTCTTTCTGATCAGAGTTTCTGTTTGCAAATGGTTTCTTTAAAGGAACTGGGGGATCATTGAACTCTGGCACTAATTAGAGTGTGTCTGGGTCTACTACTTTGCCGTTTCTTTGGACTAGCAACTTCTTTTAAGGTTTAGAAGATTGCTTTTATCTTGGCTACTCTTCCTGTACTTCATCTGCTTCCAATGTAAAGAAATTATCTGTTTTCTCAAGCTGTTTAGTCTTCTTAGCAATGATTTTCTCTTAATCATCATCACTTTCCTCGTCCATATGTAGGAGTTCCTTCTCTCTTACTTTATCCTTTTGTTCAGCAATCCTTAAAATCTTTTCCATCATCTTTTATCTCTGCTACTTCCCCTCTTCAGAATCCTCCTTAGGGAACAAAGCTATATATTTCTTATGTGGTGGGTATGTCTATATCCTCATTTATTCTAATCACAATCTTACATCAATATATATCAGCATTTTGCGTTGCTCTTTGAACTCTGCCTCTAGTTTTTACTTTTACTCTGAATCCTTAATCTCTGCCAATTCCTTTTTAAGAGTCTCTAGTTTCTTTATAACCTTCTTTTTCTCTATTATTTATACATTACATGCATGCAAACTTACCAAAGAATTTAATTTTCTTGTACTTAAGCTCGAATATCTCAGCCTCTTCCTTCTTCTTATCAAGCTTTTACAACTCCCTCAGCTCCTTCTTCTTTGCTACTTTCATCTCCTCTGGAATGCCTTCCTTAGCCAAGAGTCTTTCAAGGTCTCTGATTCTCTTTTTGTTGGTAGGGGCTCTCTTTTTCCCTTTATATTGATTCGTATACCTATGGAATTTGCCCATTTTAAGAGTGTTCTTAGGGTTAGGCAAGACCTTAGGAGCATTGATGTCTACCATTTCAGTGTCATCTTTGTCCGATCCAGCAGATTAGTCAGAGTTCTTTCTCTTTGACTTCTTCTCATGTTTTTAATCTTTGTGATCTGGCTTTGTTAGCTCTTTTCCTTATTTAACCATTGGACTTTTGATGAATTATTAAGTAATTATTTTATGATTATTGTATATACTCAACTCATATATAAGCAAAGTGCGGGGTTTTGGGGTTTTGGGGTTTTGGGG